GGTCACAGCCGACAAATGGTGTTCTAAAGTCAGCTGTGGGTCCAGGAGGACTCCCAAATTGCGAACCCTGTCTGAGGGGCGTAAAATTTCACCCCTGTCGTAGAGCCACTCAGCCCACGCAGAGCAAGGAAAGAAAGAAAAAAAAAACCTGATTTAAAGAGCATCCGGCACCCTCCTTGCCAACGGCTTTAGTTAAGTTAGTATCGCATTTATTCCATGTACACAATTATAAGCCCTGTGCAAATCTACAAGTTACATTACATACGTGAGTATACAAAAGAGCCACGCTGCCCGGGATGCCCGACCGAAGGGGCTGTTGCAATCCACGTTTCTCTACGCTGAACCCGACCTCTGCGCTCCGTTACCTGTCCGCCCGCAGGTAAAGGGTGAAAGTTAAGGACGCAACAGGTGAGTGAGATGATCTGGACCGGTGGGACGCGTTAATTTTGTGGGTTTCCAAGGGTCACCGCTGCTGTGTTCAAAAACCTGGGATTGTGTGAACGTGGAAAGGTGCCACCAGTTGGCGATTACAGCCAACGCTGCTGCCTGTCGCTTCGTTCACGAGACGCAGAATAAGGGAAAAAACCTTCTCTGCTCCCCACTTCCCAGCAGCAATGGGGACCCAGTTAATCCACTGGTGGGGCAGGCCCATTCCTCATCAAATGGCTGTCCTTTCCTCTCCAACAGAAGTGCAAATAGCTAGCAAAATCCCAGGCCAATTTTTCTAGACTGCAGACTCCAAATTATTCCTATTTAGTTTTTTTCCTCCCATTCGCCCCCTCGGAAAAGCTAGTTTTCTATGGATAGGACGCCGGGTGTCGGCAGGAAGGAAAGGGATCCTTCACACAATCTGCCAAAAATCAAGGTGGCTAGGATTCTGCTTACCGACGCTGAATGGAGGACCTCACAATGTGTTCATGAGATCCCTGAGGGGCTCCCCGCCACATTCTGATTTTCTTTTCCCCGAATTGGTACTTTGCGCTGGACGAATAAATAAAACAAGTGCTTGAGACGGTATTTCTTAGGAAATACGATGAAGGGGGATTTCTCTGAAGGGGATCGCTACGTGTTTCCTGGCGTTAGAAGCGATGTTTAGCGCTCAAATTTTCCTTCTTCGCAGAAGCAAATAACTTTTTAACGAAAGAGACATCATTAGAGTACCGCCCCAAAAAGTTGAGCGAGCCCTTTCCTGCCTTAAGTTAATTCTCTTCTTCCTTTAGAAATCATTTTTGTAAAGTGCTTTTTTTTAAAAAACAACAACGTGGTCAGGGATTTCACAGCCATCTTTGCGCCACAACCTGGCTTTTTCCGTCCCCTTTGTCAACTCCCAACGTTGTCATGGGGAGAGAAAGGGGGGGGGGAGTGCATTCCACACATACTGTCGGCTGAAGTCGGATCTCAGATTACCGCAGCAGGCTTGGGCATCTCATAGGGGAATATGATTTATGACACAGACTGAGGGGAGAGGAGGAATAGGGGTAAGGTTCAGCTATAACTCAAATGAGGCTTAGACTTGGCTGCGAACAGATCTTGCCTAGTGCTGCTCCTAATAAATGACTGGGTTTTGTATTGAAACTTGGCTCGATACTCATGAATCAATTAGGGCATTTTTAGGAAGCCTTACAGACAGGTGTAAGCTTTGTTTGAGTTATAGCTGAACTTTACCCGTTCCTCTCCTCCCCTCAGTCTGTGTCATAAATCACATTTCGCTATGAGGTGCACCCCTCCCAAGCCTCCTGCAATAATCTGAGATCCGACTTCAGCCGTCAGTACGTGTGGAATGCACTCCTCCCCCTCTTCTCTCTTTATGACGACGTTGGGAGTTGACATCCTTTTTTGTCACTGCTTGCTCGGATGGCACCACACCATGCCTGCTTCTTATGATATGACACCAGGTTTTCGATCCAAACCGTTGGGGAACGTCTACCTATGCTCCTCTCCCCTGTCAGTGGGATGGTACAGTCCAAAACCCGTTGTCAAAAACGTTGGGGGACTCATGGTCCGTCTGCCTAGAACAGGGGTGTCAAACTGGATTTCTTCCAAAACCGGATTACAACTGTAGTTCTCCTTGGGCCTGCTTGGGGGGGGGGGGGGGGCGGAATACCTCTTGTAGCACCCTGCTGTGCTCCCCGGTGCTCCATTTTGGCTGGCAAAGTGCTGCAAGAAGCCATCCAGGCCGAAAACGGTGTGTGTGAGTCACCCCCATCCTGTTTTCACTAGCATGGGCCAGTCCTTTGCTATTTTCCGGCTTAAAGTGGCCCGTGGGCCGGATGGGGACATGAATTTGACACCCCTGGCCTAGAAACATCTGAACAACTACTTCATCTTCAAGGCAAAGCAGAGGCTGAAGTCCAACCAGCTTCTTGGGTTATCAAGTGGTCTTCAGAACCACGCAAACACAATCCAACCCCTTGGAGGAGGGCGCGGACCTTCCGCCACCAGCCCTGAGCTCGTCCAGAAGAGAAGGCCCACAAGGGGCATGAGAAGGACAACTCGTTGTGGGTGTCCTGGCGGCTTCTCCGGAAGAAGCCGTAAGTCTCTGGCACAGAGGAGAATTCAATGCAAACGGTTTTGAAAGAAAAAAACACCCAGAGGTGAAGTCTCCAGGGCGTGGCCCTTGGCGTTTCGTGGAAGCTGTGGTTTCTGAAGGACATCTTGAGTTTCAGCTTGAAGGACGCAGGAGGACTCCGCAACTGTCCACCTCAATGCTCTGCTCTTGGGGTCAACGCAATGTGGAACGTTGTCAAAGCGAGCGGATCTCGGCTCGGGTATCGGGAGTGCTGGGAAGCGTGGCTCTCAGGAGCTTTCTGCTCCAGTCGCTTCCAAGGTAGCCGAGAACTCGTCTGTCCAAGGTAGCGAAGGTTGGGTAAGGACACTTGTGAGAGAGGCGTTTGCAGTGGGGAAATTATGGGTTAGATGAGCCGCCTTCTTGAGAATTATTCATGCAGGGAAAGGAAAGTTTTATTATTTTTCCTTCGGGGAAGTTTGCTCTGCATCGCCCTTCAAACTGGGTGATCCGGGTTGATTTTTACCCCCCTCCCCGTGGCTTGCATGGCAACGGATCAGTTTGAAAGTCCTAAGAAGATCCATTCCAAGGGTGTCCGATCTCGGCAGCTTTGAAGATTTGTGGGCTTCGACTCCCAGAATTCCTAAAAGTCTAAAACGGGTCTTAAAAGTTGCCAAGTTGCTGATCCATTCCGTGCGTTAACAAATTTTTTTTTTTCCTGCTGACACAAAATATCGAAACGAGAACTAGCGAGAATCCAGTCCTGCCGTTGGCAACTGCTGAGAATTTTTCTTCTTCTTCCATATTTCTTCTCCCATTTTGGGTTAAGACAGGCGACCAAGAATCGCTCGTTCTCAAGATCCCAGGGAAGGGGTCTCTGCTTTGGATAAAACCGCAGGAACACTACCGAATCTCCTCCTCCGAACGGGCACGCCGAGACGTCTCTGTTCATCCGGCGGACGACGGGGGACAGAAGGGGGGGTCTTCGTGGAAAAGAGTTGCCCCTTTGCTGGCCGGAAGAGCGAGCAGAAGTTGAGACCACGCACCCTGGGGCAGCCCAAGGCAACGGTCCGCTCTCCGACGGCCGAAGGTTGCTTGCGGAAGGGAACGGATTCGGGGCTGCTGGCCTCAAAACTCAGCTTGTCTTCCGCCGAGGTGGCTTTCAGCTCGCGGAGCGGAGGATGAGAAAGGACATTCCTTCCGTCCTTCAGCCTTAGGGGAAGATCTGGAGTTCAAATTTGGGGGCCCATTCGAGGGCGCTCTTGACCACCGCCACGGCGGCCGCCCCCAGCGCCACCGTCAGCCCCATCACGGCCAGCTTGACGAAGCGGTTGGTCCTGGGTTTGGTCGCTAAGAGAGACTTGGCTCTCTCCTCCACCCGGTGTTGTTCTCGGAAGCGCTGACGGAGGATGGTGTCTGGCTGTTGCTGGGATGAAGCCAGCTCAAAGTCTTTGAAGGTGGAAACCGCCGTTCTGCCGCGGGGAGGGGGAGGGAAGAAAAAAGGAGAGGGACTTCAGTTGTGAAATACAGCCAGTCCTCCACTTACAACCAGTAGCTTGGGGAGCATTTGAAGTTACAACGGCACTGAAAAGGGAGCTGGCTCTTCGCCCTTTCCCGCCCCACTGCCTTTCTGTTTACCTTTATATTTTATAATATTGTATAACTCCATAAAAAGGTAAAGGTTCCCCTCGCGCATATGTGCTAGTCGTTCCCGGCTCTAGGGGGTAGTGCTCATCTTTGTTCCAAAGCAGAAGAGCCAGTGCTGCCCAAAGACGTCTCCGTGGTCATGTGGCCGTCATGACTCAACCCCGAAGGCGCACAGAACTGCTACCTTCCCACCAAAGGTGGTCCCTATTTTTCTACTTGCATTTTTTACCTGCTTTCAAACTGCTTGGTTGGCAGAAGCTGGGACAAATAACGGGAGCTCAATCTGTTAGACGGC